AGTATTTCTAAGTTCCTCAGCTCTGCTTTTTAAGCCCCTCCCCCCAATCCCCTGCTCTGACTCCACCTGATGGTCTTCCCCTCAGTGGGGTGTGATGGAAAGCAGCTGCCATGGGAATGCACAAACCTGGATCTGGTCTCAGTTTTGTCCTTCACTTGCTGTGTGACTTTGACCAAATCACTTTCCCTCTCTGGGTGTCCTCAGCTATATAATGAAGGGGCTGAACTAGATGGTCCCCACAGATGTCTTCCAGCTGGAAATTATATTTTCATATAACGGTTCCTGCTTCTCTGGTACCCCCTTCTCTTTCAGCTCCACTAGCTGTACCTCCCCCCGTGGGCACACAGGGTTGTGCTGTGTGCTGCCTCTGGGTCACCTCCTGGGCACCCAGGGATGGCCCATGTCCAGGGTTTCATACAAGGGTCTGGCTCCCGGTCTGCAGGGTCTGCCTAACTGTGTTGGAGATGCCCTGACTTCATGCAGATTACATTTTTGTCTTTTCTAAAAGCGAAGACGAAAAGGTCACCTGAGTTTGCCCGGCGTGGAGACAGCCTGACCTGGAGTCCTCACGGAGCCCAGCCTGGCCCCTGGGGACCCACCGGACCAGGCCTGCATCCCCTCGTCTCAGGATTCAACCTGAGGAGGGCCCACTTCTGGGGGCTGCAAGTCAGGAACCTGGGGGTGTCTCAGCATTAGCTCTTGACAACCCCTTAGAAGGGGCACCAGCTTAAAGGGTAAAAAAGGTGCTTATCAGGACAACGAGGGGCCCGCAGCTCCAGCGGGGCAGCTGGTCTGGCCCAAGACAGGAGGATTAAACAGGATTCTCCTGTACCGGGCAGAGCCTACCAGTTGGATGTTCATTGCGGTTCCATGGGGACCTCTAGTGGCTGTTTTGTCAAACTGCGGTCTCCAGCCTTACCAGCTTCAGGCCATTCCACACCTGGATGGATACTAAGTAATGCTAATAACCACCATCTATCCTATGCAGCATCCCTGATTCACAGAAGGGAACCTCTTGAGGAGCACTTGCCTAAGGCCACCAGGCTAAGTGGCTGAACAGGGATTTGAACGCTGCCGCTTGACTTCAGAGTTCATACTGCCTACCCCCAAAGATGTGAGTGTGCTCATCATGAAAACCTGGAGTTTTTAGCACATGGCACTTGCCATTTCTATATTATGCACCTTCAAAACAAGTGAGAAGACATTTCTCAAAGGACCCATGTGCCACCAGCAGTTGAGGGGTCACTGGATTCTTAGAGACAGAGCTAAGTTGAAGGAACGGGCTGCCACGTGTAAATTCACCCAAGGTAACCATTTGGGAATCCAACCTCCTCCATGAAGTAAGAAAAATAAAATGTGCCCCGCCTATCTCTAGGGCTTGTTGTAAGAGTTAGCTGAAATGCCACATATGAACATATTTTATAAAATTAAGTAATTTGACAATTATAACTTTTATCTTTGTAAAAACAACCTGTAGTTACCAACTGATTTCTTTTCTTTTTTTTTTTTTTTTTTTTTACCAACTGATATTTGAAGCTAAAGAAAAAAAATGCAACCAGTATTTATTGAGTGTTTGAGATATTGGATAGTGTTCGGTGTACTTTTTTTTTTTTTTTTTGAGACAGACTCTTGCCTTGTCACCCAGGCTGGAGTGCAATGGCATGATCTTATCTCACTCTAACCTCTGCCTCCTGGGTTCAAGAAATTCTCCTGCCTCAGCCTCCCGAGTAGCTGGGATTATAGGTGCCCACCATCACACCTGGCTAATTTTTTTGTATCTTTAGTAGAGGTGGGATTTCATCACATTGGCCAGGCTGATCTCGAACTCCTAACCTCGTGATCCACCCACCTTCGCCTCCCAAAGTGCTGGGATTACAGGCGTGTAAGTCACCATGCCCGGCCTGTTCTGTGTACTTTTTACATATTAGCTTGACTATTTTCCCTACAAACCAGGGAGGCAGTTTCTATTTTTATTCTCTATTTTACTGATGAAAACCCTGCAGCCCACACAGAGGAAGCACCTTGTCCATGATGAAATAGTGATAGAATGAGGATTTGCTCCTTTGCAGCCCCATTACAGAGCTGGTGTGCTTGATTTTCACACTCACTCTGCTGTTCTTCAAGGATACCTTCCAGTCTCCCAGAGAGGATGCGATGAGGACCGCCAGAGCTTGAGGATGCCTCTTTACTGTCCCTAACAAGAATCACTGCTGTGTCAGGGCTGTGCTAAGTGATTGGTGGACATTTTTGCTAAGCTGTACTCCCTCCTGTGAAGTACAGTCCTTGCTTTACAGATGGGGTCTAAGCCTCCAAGAGGTAGAACGATTTGCCCAGGGCCACACGCAGCAAGTGCACAGCTGGCTCCGAACCCAGTGCTCTCGCAGCCAAGCCGCTCCAAACCTGAGATGCTGCCCCTGCTCAGCTGCTCCCCCGGCCCATGCACCAGTGGGAACCCCCACAGCCCAGGGCTCCCTTGGGCTCTGCTCACACTTTTTGCCCTCTCTGGGATTCCATGCACTGGAAGCAAACACACCTAACATAAGAAATGGCCCAAGAGCCGGGTGCCACTAACCCAGACAGTGCCGCTGAGATTTTAGGGAAAGCGCCCTTTGGGGTGATGTTGCTCACACCAAGACAAGGGCATGAGCTCAGGCCGGGTTTCAGCCGCGCTTACCCTCAGCTGGGGCCTTGGTGCAGGACGCAACCTGTAAAGGCGTGCCATAAACCCACAGTCTAGAGGAGGAACGGACCAGGAACCTCTGAGGATACATCTCCTTGTGTGATTGGGCCTGGGAGTTATCCAAGGAGGAAAGGTTTAGGATGAACAAAGAAGACTAAGTTACCATTTGTTCTCTTCCAAACACAAGTACTGTAAACTGAATTGGTTTCCCTCAAATTCATAGGGTGAAGCCATGACCCACCCTATGACTGTGTCAGGAGGTAGAGTCTTTAGGAGGTAATTAAGGTTAGGTGAGGTCGGAATGTCGGGGCCCTGATCTGGTAGGACCGTGGTCTTAGAACAGGAGAATGAGAGAAAGCGATCCCTCTCCACCATGTAAGGAAATAGCAAGCAGGCGGCCATCTGCAAGCCAGGAAGAAAGGCCTCCCCAGAACGCACTCATGCTGACACTGTGATCTCGGCTGTCCAGCCTCTACACCTGTGGGAAATAAGTATCTGCGGTTTCAGCCACCCAGTCTATGGTATTTTGTTCTGGCTGCCTGAGCAAACTAAGATAAAGATAAATCCCAGGGACGCAGAAGACTCTTGGCAACCAAATAGGAGAGTTTGTGTTGACCAGCTCTGGGCATGCATATAACGTGCTGAATTCCCCTTCTCAGAGCAGCCGTAAAGAGAGGCACGGTGTGTGGGTAAGCTGCTCTGCCCTCATTCCTAAGGCATATTTGAGCAGTGTCTACACATCAGATTTTGGGAAGAGAACAATGAGACATAGTGCCCCAAATCTGAAAAATCAAAGACCAGATAATTAACTCACTTCAAAATCCTTTGCTTCCTCATGGAACATTTGTGGCAGAGTGGCTCAGTGTGCACACGAGACAGACGTCTCCATGCAAACCTGTCACGTGGAATGCTGATCCTTAATGGAGTCTGATGTCTGGGGTGCCAAGCAAAGTCTCCTTGAGATTTGCCAAGCTTGGGATTAAATGTGCCTTCACTGAAGTAAATCACTTCATTCTAAGTTATATAGCAAGTTGGAGGTCCAACCTCCATCTTCCACTCTGTTCACTAAACTTTTTTTTTTTTTTTTTGAGACGGAGTTTCGCTCTTGTTACCCAGGCTGG